ATAAATTTTGCTGTGATTTTGTGTTTCCATTGTCTGGGGTTTACTGATATTTTAGGATCTGTAGTTTATAGTTCGCATCAACTTTTGAAAAGCTGACAATTATTTCTCCAATTTTTATTGTTCCCACTGCCTTTTATTCTTCCTGGGATGGAGATTACACACATGCTAGTCACTTGACATCATCCTTTAGGTCAGGATTCATTATTTTTCAGACTATCTTTTGTTTATGCTTCAATTTGGATTGTGTATCTCCCTGCATCTTTAAGACCATTTACTTCCTCTTCTTCAATGTAGATGATGCTGATAAGTCCATCACGTGAATTTGTTTAAAGATATTGTATTTATTTTCAAAGCTAGAGGTTCAATTGCATTATTTTTATGGTTCCATTTATGTCTTCATGTTCCTCACATTTTATTTTGACTTCTTGAACATATTGCTAATAAATATTTAAATTCCCTCTTGGAAAATTCCAGCATGACTCACACGTTTAAGTCTGTTGCTATTGGGTGATTGTTCTCCTGTTGTGGGTCACATTATTTTTGTCACTGTGTCTTATCTAGCAGATGCTAACTGTCACTTGGTTGAATAAGTGAGTTTGCTGTCTTCCTTTAAAGACTGATAGGCTTTGTGTAGATAGACAACTAAGCCACTCATAGAGGAGCTTGATTCTTTTCAGGGCTATGTTTTAACTTTTATTGAGGCAGGCAGCCTTTATCTAAGTTTAACTTAATCTTAAGGGATGGCCCTCCTGAGACTCCCCTGAAAGTCGAGGTGTTTGATGGAAATTCTCCTCTCTGGTTGGATGAACTACAAAAGGTTCCCATCCCAGTGTGGATGCTGGGAACTCATAGATCTCCTCATAGCTCATAGATCTTCAGGGGTTATTTTGTTATCTAATCTTATAGAGTTTGAATCTAATTCTGCAGTTTAGTATTTGCTCACTTTTATGTCCATTTCTGGGTGTTCTTTTCTTTGTGTAACTTTCTTTTCTCCACTCCCTTGCCTCACAGATCCCAGCATCCACCTCACCAGACTCCAATCTCTGTCTCTTGCTCAGAGAGCCTGCTGTGACCCGCTGGGGTCTCCCCACAGCTCTGTGGTTCAGAAGATGCTTACAGGTCCAAAGTCAGGCAGCTGCAGGGTTTATCTAGTGTGTACTTTTTCTGTCAGGAATCTCCCTGTTTGGCCTATGTATAATGTTGGAAAACAATCATTACATGTATTTTGTGTAGTTTTCTAGTTGCTTTTGGCCTGAAGGCAAATTTGATACCAGCTTGTCCTTCGTGGTTAGAAATAGATGAAGTGCCTTTTTCTTTAAAAGATGGGTACATTCGGAGTTTTGGGCTTTGAAGATTTGTGTCTAGTTGCGATTTGGATTCTATGAAACCACATTATAGAAATGATGGGAGCTGGCCTGAGGACCCTGGTATGACAGATATGGCAGGAAAGGAGATGGAAATCACCTAGATCCTTAAGGAATTTAAAGACTAATCTTGGAGCCATACTACCATGGGAAATGTTTGCAGTGTGATAAAAATAATCCTTCATTTTTAAGCCAGTTGGGTAGGGTATTTTTAATTATAGTCAAAACCATCCTGATTCATGAAATTCAGTGTATTAGTACAATAACAACAGTAAGTACTCAGTAGTTTCTAGAAAATCATTTAAAATGTAGTTACAGAACACTGTGTGCTCCATAGGTGATATACTAAGAATTGCATGCGCCGTATCTTAGCAATGTCACAGGAAGTCTGGGATGTAAGAAAGTTGTCATCACCCCTTGTCACAGTTGCCACACTGGAGGCTGAGAAAACGGCACACTTTTCATCCTTACACACTTACTGTATGGCATGGTTAAGATGTAGACCCAGGCCACTCTTCCTTCAAAGTGATACTGCTCAAATTTATTTAGTCTTCCTGATATTGTTTTTCAAGTCCCAGAGCTTAATCAAGGCCATGGTTCTTTTCATATAAAAGGAGAAACCAATCAATTAAAAAAAATAATAAAAAAATAACTTACAAAAGGGGATTAAGGACGATGGAATGTTTTCCCAGAGTTAGTGGAAGACAGAGAGTTCTAAACTTTCATCTTGACTGTTGGTTTCTGAGGGAAAATGTTTATGCACGTTGTGCTAAATCAGGACAGCGAGCCTATCATGAGGAACATGTTGTTATGGTTTGTCTCTAGGGGTCCCTCCAAAACCTCATGCAGTTATGGGGTAGATTTTTCGAGTTTGTGATTAACTCATGATCCACTGGATTTATGGGTGATCCAAGTCTGGGATTATAGGTCTCAGTACTGCTGGGATTATGGGTATGAGTGCTACACTCAGTCTGAGGTAGATAGCCTGAACATAATATAAGAGAAACAGAGAGATAGACTTCTTCTCTGTCGCCGTTGTTGTCACTCCACCCCTGGCTCCTCTTGATCTTTGCCACCATCATGAAAATTTGCTCTGTGCCATGTGCCGCTTACCTTGGAGCCAACTGTGTATGGGCCGAAACCTCCAGTAACTGTGAGCAAAAGAAACCTTTCCTTCCTTCATCTTGAGTGTCAGGTATTTGTCCCAGCAATGAGAGAAGAGTAACTGGGACAGAATTTGATACCAGAGAAGTGGGGTCATTGCTGTGACTTAACCTGCCTGTGTGGATTACAAGCTTTTGAGAATGGTTTATGGGAAGAGATAGGAAAGGTTTGGAGAGGTTGCCTACTTGTGAAGAGCTAGAACAGCTTCATCTGTTCTGTTTGGGAGATTCTGGTCAGAGCTTAGAAGACCAGAAGGATGATAGAAAGCCGGCCTGTAAGACCAGGCTGGGGAGGTTTCTGCTGGGAAGAAGGACTGCATTGTTTCTTGGTCTCCAGATGATTTGTGTTTTGCCTTGGCAGAATCTTTTCTGCATTTTGTTCCTGCCCAGAGACTTTACCTGAGAGTGAGTTAAAGCATGGTGAACAGATTAATCTTTCAAAAGAAATTTCAAAACAGCCAAATATTGAGGCAGTGGCATGGCTATTGTTGGGGGCTTTTAGCCAGATTTGTGTTGAGAATCAAGAGCAAAGAACCCAGCAGGATGATATAAATGTTATGAGTTTGGCCAGAAATGAAGCTCCAATAAAGCTGCAGATTGCAGAGATAGAGCTGAGAGGATCTCCACTGCCAGGAAGAAACAAGAGAATGGAAAGGATGGCCTGAGGTCATCTCAGGAGGCAGCAGATCTTCACTCTTTTCAGCCTCAGAATTTCAAGGGTGAGGATCTTTGCCTTGAGGAGAAAGCTGCAGAGCCCCACTCCCAGTACCAAATTCTGTCTCAGTTACTCTTCTCTCTGTTGTCTCTGTAGCCATTGTTGCCACTGCTCTGGGCCTTTTGCTTTCTGCTCTTTGCCACCACCATGAATGGTTTTTCTGTGCCATGTGCTGCTTTGCCTTGGAGACAGCCACGTATGGACTGAAACCTTCAATAACTGTGAGCTAAATACACTTTTCCTTCCTTCATTTTGAGTGTCAGGTATTTGTCCCAGCAATGAGAGAGGGGTAACTAAGACACATGTGAACAGAAAAAAACCTAATCTAGGAAGCACCTGGGAATTGGATCCAGTTAGGCCCTTGGAAGCGGGAGACCTGCTTGCAACAGCAGCCAGGGAGAAACAGCAAGGCTGCCTGAACTGAAAGAAGTTTCCAGGTCAAAGTCAGTGACATGGGAGACAAGAAAAAAAGTTGCTCAGGAAAAGTCCCCAAACCCATGTCGTGGTCCTGCCATGGATAAGTGGTCCAGCACTGCCAGAGAACCTGAGTGGGATGCATTTAGAGGTATCTGAAAGCACCTGCAGCACATAAATCTTAATGTCTTTGCTAAGAATGCCGAAATCATGGTTTTAAGACTTTGAGAGATGTAAAAAGTGAAACGTTACGGTAGCGTAAAAACACTATAAATCTTCTAGCAAAATCTTACCTTATTCACTCTAAGTGAAGCTAATGAAAACTGCTATCAGTGGAGAACAAGGGAAAGAGAGGACTCAGGGGCAGGAAGAGAAGGGCAAATGCCCAGTGCCGGACCTCTGCCAGGTAAGCAGCACCAATGCCTCCTTTGCAAGGTCAACTCCTGTCAGACTAAGCTGCAGAATAGGCAGAGGGGCAGAAAGACACGCCTGGACTCCTCCTTCACCCTTGCGTGAAGACATATTACCAAGACAGGAGTATGTGGAGGGAGTGTGTGTGTGTGTGTGAGAGAGAGAGAGAGAGAGAGAGAGAGAGAGAGAGAGAGAGAGAGAAGTGTGTGTGTGTGAGAGAGAGAGAGAGAGAGAGAGAGAGAGAGAGAGAGAGAGAGAGAGAACAGTGCACCAAGAGACATAGAAAAAAAAGGAGACTAGTCCTTCTCATCTCCAGCTCCAGGAACCAAAAAATGATGATAATGCAGGCAGAAGACCCTCCTCCAGAGGTAAGGAAGAGGCACAAGAAATCTGGGCATGACAGAGGGCTGGAAGGACCAACAGAGGCTGTGGAGGTAGCTGGGCAGCGGAGCGCTTGCCGAGCTCGCTCAAGGCCTTGGATTCCACTCCCAGCACTGCCAGAGCAAAGAAAAGAAAGCAGAAATAAAGATGGTATTAGCTACAGGCAAGAGCATGGGAAAATAAAGACAAATTTGCTAGAGGGAGGAGATTGTATATGACTTTTTTTTTTTTTTAAAGTCTGTTGTTTCAATAAATAGCTTTTTAAAAAAGACATCCTGTGTTTTAAAGTCTGAATTCTGTCTCTGCGTCCTGGAATCTGACTCCCTGCCCTCAGGCCTGGTAGCTCTTTAAAGTGATTCTGAGAACACTGAGGGAGCCTCTGCCAATCCTAATGGCCGCCAGCTGTGGATGGACCCTCCTTCAGCCTCACCCTCAGTGTGCTCTGCTTCTGGCCAGCGGTGGCTCCCCCAGGATTGGCTACCTCCAGGTTAGATTGGTCTGCTGGAAAATGCTAGCACTGCCCCAGTGTCACTGTCCATAGAAGGGTCTCACCTTGGGCACCAGCAGCCTCTCTGGCTTTACTGGGGTTCTGCGGAGAGAAACACAACACTGGCCAGCTTGCAGAGGTGTGGGGTAATCTTCAGCTGCAGGGGCAGCAGAGGGGCTGCTCAGAGGCCTGGCCTGGCCTGCCTAGAAGTCTGAAGGCCTGCGGTCCCATCCGTTGGTCTACTCAGTGGGGACAAATGAGGCCATGTAACCAACAGACTCCCTCCGGATTTGAACTACATTTCTCCTAGATCCCTATGAGATGCATGAACCACGAATTCAACATCAGTGAATGAAATCATGAACCAATGAAAACATTTAGGAGAGTTTATGGGAAATAAGGAGAGCCCCTGAGGCTAGTTGTCAGGGATAAAATCACAACGTAAAAACAAGGTGGGTCAAATTGCCATCAACCTGTACAATTGCAAATATAGCTGCTTAGCTAATATTGATCCAGTAGGGAGTAAGTAGCAAAGGTACATGAAAAGAGCAAGGCATTCTGGGAAGGGATGGGCCCTGATGCGTTTCTGGGCTGATGTCTATCTTGACTTACTGGACCAGGTGGTGGAAAGTCCAATATCGTCTCAAGTTCTTGTTTATCCCGCAGGAGGCGTGCAGGCCTGGCCAGTGCATCTTTATCTCAAGGCCTGGCCTTCCTCAGCGGAGCTTCTAGCTGCAATTCTGATGGCTGTTTTTCCGCTGACTTCCTTGAAAGTCCAGTCCCTCTCTAAGTTATTTCTAACTTAGCTGCCCATAGTAACAGGCAAGGCACAACAAAGATCATTCGTGCTATAAATCACCAGATCCGAGGAGGGCATTTGGAGGCTCTGTGAGCAAGGCGAATCTACATGCTGAGATTCTTAGCTCCTGTACGATTTAAATAATTAAATTTTTAACATTTAAAAGAAAGCTAAATGGAAGGAGGGTCCGTTAAAAATTCAAGGTAGGATTACCATATTGTTCAGTAATTCTACTCTGAGGACTACAGTCCAAAGATTTCAAAGCAGGGATTCTTATAAATATTTTGTTTTTATTTATTTATTATCATTTGTGTATTTGGTACAGGGTCTTACTATGCAAATTGGGCTCATGGTGAGCCTCCTGTTTTTAGCCTTGCCAGTGGTGGGATTACAGGTATGTACCACCATACCAGGACTCTGTGGCCAGCTCAGTGCACACCCGGGGTGGGGCCAGGACAGCACACAGGACTAGGGATCGAACCCTGGTCCCTGCGCTTGCCAAAGAGGGTGTTTAGTCTACTGAGCTCTTATAAATATTTATGCACCTATATTTATAGTAGTAGTATGCACAATAGTCAAACAGAGAAAGCAACATATATATATATATATATATATATATATATATATATCCATAAACAAAGTGGACTTTGGATTAACAAAGTGTGGTATGGACATACAATGGAAAATTATTCAGTCTTGAAAGGAAATAATACTCTGAGATCAGCTACCTGATGGATGAAATTTGAGGAAATACCAGCTGAAATGTGCCAAACATAAAAGAGAAAATAATGATTCAATTTATATGGTGTGCCAAAGATAATTAGATTCATAAGACAGAAAATAAAATAATGATAAGCAGAGTCTGGGGAAGTGGGGGGAAAAGGAAACCATGGCTTGGTGGGTACAAGGGTGATGAAAAGGTTCTGGGCATGGACAGATGTGGTGGTTGGTTACATAACCATGTGAATTACTTCATGTCACTGAATCACCCACTTGGAAAATATTTAAAATGACAAATTTATGGATACTTTAGTGCAATAAAAATTAAATGAAATATAATAAAAGATTGGCTAATTCATCCAGCCAACAAGTATTTGTGCAGAATCTGCAGCCGGCACCATGTCAGGCAGAGAATGCAAAAGCGAGTGAACAGCAGCGCTGCTCCCAGGGAGCTGCCCTCTGCTGTCAGCTGGGTCTTGAATGCCCTCCAAAGAGCCAAAAGTGGGTCTCAGCGGACTGGCTGCCAGGGCGGGAGTGCTGGAAGGTGGTACAGCCTTTATGAGTTGGGGTTGTGTGGAAAGTTTTCAGGTCACTGAGAGTTTGCTCCTGAAGGGGGAGCAGAAAGCCAGCCTTTTCTGCCTCTGCACAACCCCACAGGCAAAGGGCCCAATAAGCACGGGCTGTTACCTTCCAAACTGAGCTCAAATAGAATTTTTATTTCTGTAAGCTGACTGCCTCAGGTATTTTGTAATAGTGACAACAAGCTAACACACTACAGCGATACACAAAGTCTTGCCCAAGTATCCTTATTTCCTTTCTAGATGCCAGATGACTATAACCCCAGTGCTCTGGGAGCCTGAGGCAAGAGAATTGTCAGCTTAAGGGCAGCCTGGGCAACTTAGTAATTTAGGGAGACCCTATGTTGGAAAAAAGGGGAGAGGTTAGGGATGTAGCTCAGTGCAAAGGCCTTGAGTTTAATCCCCAGTAGCTCAAAAATCACAACAAAACAAAACAAAATTCTTTCATAGATGAAGACCGCTGATTTCTGCCAAACTTCTTTGTTTTTTTTTTTTTAAGTCATGCTCTCCTCTCGTCAATCCCTTCCTCCCAGAGTTATAAACATTTGTATTATGTTTATGAACACTTAGAGCACTGTAATGTAATCACTGGCCTACGTGTTTATGTTGTCTTCTAGCCTCCTGACTCATCCGATCCCTAGACACTGATACTGCGGGTGCTGTGTTCCTGTGTCAGGCGGAGGACACGGGCTAAGGCCTTGCTGCTGCAAGTGTGAGGTCCGACCACCAGAGTCGGCATCGCCTTATGTGCAATGCAGATTCTTAGGCCCCACCCAAGTCCACTCTAATCAGAATCTGCATTTTAACTGGCTCCCTGCCAGTCTGGATACATACCTCATTTTTTTTTTTAAATGTATTTTTAGTACAGGGACTACAGGGTCTCGCTACACAGATCGGACTCCTAGTGAGCCTCCTGTTTTCAGCCTCCTCCCAAGCGCTAGGATTACAGGTGCGCATCACCATGTCCAGTCTTGTTCCCTGGCTCAGGGCACCTCGGGGGCAGAGCCAGCGTGGCATGCCAGGGATCAAACCCTGGACCCTGCATCTGCCTAAGCAGGTGCATTAGTCCACTGAGCTATCTGGCTGGCCCTACATGCTGCAATTCAAGCAGCGCTGGGTTTGAGGCTAATCCCTGTGCATGATGAGAGTGGGTTGGAGTATGTGTGCTCACACACACTTTTTAGTGTGTCTGACCACCTCCAAGCGGAGGCTTCGAATGGTAGTCAATGCTGGTGGCGCAACTTGGCTTCTGTGAGAAGTGAGGAAAATGAGCTGGACTGAAGAGAGCGCCCAGCCTTGGTAGGGAGTGAAACACTGCTGCTTCCTCGGGTCAGGCCTTATCAACACAGAAGCACTGCCATGGCGAAGCCCTTGCCCAAAAGGCTAATAAGATCCAGCAGACCATCTACATTTTTCAAGAAGAATTTAAGTGATTCGGATGACTTTTAAGGTACTCAGTCAACAAATAGTTGTGGAGTGTTCACCTTAACACCTTTATTTCATAGAAGAGCAAAGAAAGGTTGAGTGAGTTCCAGGACCCTGGCTGATTTGTTCTCTAGGGCCAGGGATGAGTCAAAATCGGGGGCATCTTACAGGTTGATACTTCTTCAAACATGCATTTTAGAAATGTTTGTTCAACATCTATTTTGTTTTGTTTTCTTTTCTTTTTTGTATTTAGTATAGGGTCTCACTATGTAGCTCAGACTTGTAGTGATCCTCCTGTTTACAGCCTCCCAAGTGCTGGGATTACAGGTGCACGTCACCACGCCCAGTCTTAATTGAAGTTTCATCGCACCCCGGGGGCTGGGCCAGCATGGCAGGCTGGGATCAAACTCTGGCCTTTGTGTCTGCCTAAGCAGATGCTTTAATCCACTGAGCTATTTGGCCAGCCCTCAACATCTATTTCGTGAGTTCAGGAATAAATTTATTTTTCTACAAATAAAAGTTCTATTTAGAAAGTACTAGCCTTATTCATTTCCTGGCCCCCAAACAGAGTCTGAATACCTATAAAATTTGGCAAAATTTTTCCTCTTTTTTTTCTTTCTTTCTTTGGTACAGTGTCTTACTACACAACTCAGACTTATAGTGATCCTCCTGTCTCAGCCTCCCCAGCACTGGGATTACAGGTATGCACCCCCACACCCAGTTTTCAGTGACTCACATGGTGTGCCCAGAGTTCCAGGGCCCATGTGGCATGCAGTACCGGGGACTGAACTTGGGTGCTTGCTCTTGCCAGGCAGGTGCTTACACCACTGAGCTAGCTCCTTGGCCCTTTCTTCTTTTCTGATATTGTTCTCAGATCAGTTTTCTTTCATAATTTTAATTCTTTTCTTTTTACTTTTTAAAGAATACAAAATGATAATAGAAAAAAAGCAACATTAGAAATGATACAAAATTTCACTAAACAAAGTAATAGGAATCCAACAATGGTTACTATATTGCATGACGTTATCTTCAAATTGGTTGTTTAAAATACCAGATATAAATGTGAAAGATTGGTTTAAAGAAAAAACAAAACAATAACAAAGAGTTATAAGAAATATTCAAAAGAAAAATAGGAAAAGAAAAATATTTTAAGCATTAACTGCTTCTTTCAAAAGGCCAGCAGAAATTGGCAATACAATTATCCAAACTATCCTGCATATATACCATAATTTTCTAAGTAAGGCCATCGTGATGTGAATGTGAAAGAGATTAAATACAAAGAAAAAGAACTGCATTACTTGATCGCAGTAGGTAAGTAGCACCATGTTGCCCCTGTTCAGGTTCAAAATGTCTCTAATTGTGACGTCCACCTATCTTACTTTTTCATTACTGAGACAAAATACCTGACATCCAAAGCTTAAGGAGGAAAGGTTTATTTGATCACAGTTGGTGGAGGTTTCAGTCCATAATCAGCTGGCTCCAAGGCAGGCTGGTGTCACAGAGAAGAAACACTTCATGGCAGGTGGAAGTAACAAATCAACAAGAGATAAGACAAGCCTCTTTGTGTCCCTTCTATGGTA